CAACGGTTCCCGCCTGAGACTTCCTCCAAATTTACTCAGGACCCCCTCTCCTGAGACTTCCTCGCAATTTACTCAGGATCGGTGTTCCCGTCTGTGACTTCCTCGCAATTTAGTTTGGACCCCCGCTCCCATCTGAGACTTCCTCACATGTTACTCAAGGACGGCGCTCCCGCTTGAGACTTCCTCGCAATTGAGTCAAGACTTCTTCGCAATTTAATCAAGACCCCAGCTCCCGCCAGAGAACCCCTCACATTTGATTCAGGAATTGCGCTCTCGCCTGTGACCGCCATGCAATTTATTCAGAAATCGCGCCTTCGACGCTCAGGAAACACGCTGCACCAAGGACGCCGTTACAATTTGCTTAGTAATCGCGCTCTCGCCATACTCAGGCATCCCGCCTGCATGTCCCACCCGCCCGACCCGCCCGTCAGGGGATCGCCCGCCCGTCGTGGGCTCCCGCCCGAGACTTCCTTCAGGAACGGCGTTTTCGCCCAGGACTTCCTCGAACGTTCACGTTCTTACCTTTCTGTTCCTCCTCCCTCTCCCTCCTCCCTCCTCCCTCCTCTCCTCCCTTCTCTCTCCCTCCTCTCTTCCCTCATCCTTCTGCCTCTCTGCCCTATCCCCTCTCCCTCCTCTCCCTCCTCCCTTCTCCCTCCCCTCGCCTGCCTCCTCCCTCCCTCTTTCTTTATTTCTCTCTCTCTCTCTCTCTCTTTCTCTCTCCCCTCTCTCTCTCTCTCTCTCTCTCTCTCTCTCTCTTTCTCGCTCTCTTTTTCTCTACCTTTCTTGTATGTATTTCTCTCTCTCGCTCTCTCTCTCTCTCTCTCTCTCTCTTTCTCTGCCTCTAATCAACCGCCCCCCTCTTCGTTCCTTCTCTCCTGGCGTTTTCCCTCTTCTTCGTCCCTCCCCCTCCCTTCCTCCCACTATCCCTGGTTCTCCCCCTCCTCTTTTTGCAGGGCCCACACCAATTCCAATGGCGGGCACATGTACGCCCACGAAGGATTGTCCGCCCGTTCAGGCTTGCCCGCCTGTCTAAGCCCGCCGCCCCCCGCAAAGAGCAATAATCCCCAAAAAGGGGGGGTGATCGAAGAAGCCAAAAAGGGCGGGTATCGAGGGTGTCGGGAACTCGTTTCGAATGACACACGGGCAAGTGAGAGCGAACAGTCCTAGAATGATTGTTGTTGTTGGCATCAACGCCTGTGTGCCCCGTCCCCGGAAGGGTGGGGCAGCAGGCCAGCAGGCCAGCACCCACACCCACACCGACGCCGACGACCACGCTCACGCTCGGGGGGGGGCAGCAGGCCAGCACTCACACCCTCACCGACGCCCACGCCCACGCCCACGCCCACGCCTACGCCCACGCCCACGCCCACGCCCACGCCCACGCCCGCATCCACGCCCACGCTCACGCCCACGCCACGCCGACGCCCACGCGCAAGCCCACGCCCACGCCCACGCCAACGGGCCAATTTCGGAGCACTCCTCACACGTTTCGTGGCCCCACGAGGGGTCTCCACGGGATGCCTCGGGCAAATTTCGGGGTACCCCTCACAAGTTTCGTGGCACCACGAGGGGTCTCCACGGAACGCCCCTTGCCCATCTCGACGCATCCTTCACACGTTTCGTGGCCCCACGAGGGGTCTCCACGGGACGCCTCGGGCTCATTGCGGTGAACCTTTCACGCGTTTCGTGGCCCCACGAGGTGTCCCCACCGAAGGCAATGCGAGTCATTTCGGATGCCTCGGGGCCATTTTGGAGCGCCCCTCAAACGTTTCGCTGCCGTTCGAGGGTCTCCACGGGACGCCTCGCGCTCATGTCGGAGCACCCCTCGCACGTTCCGTGGCCCCTCGCACGGTCCACTGCCCTTGTGGAGTGTCTCCGCGGGACGCTTCGGGCCCACTTCGGATCACCCTCTCACGTTTCGTGGTTCCACGAGGGGTCTCCACGGGACGCTCCGGGCCCATTTCGGAGCACCCTTCACATGTTTTGTTGTCCCACGATGGGTCTCCACGGGACGCCTCGGGCTCATTTGGGGCACACCTTACACGTTTCGTGGCCCCATGAGGGGTCCCCGGATTCACTTCGGATGCCTCGGGCCCATTTCGGAGCACCCCTCACACGTTTCGTGAGCGAGCGAGGGGTCTCCACGGTACGCTTCAGGGGCTATTTCGGAGCACCCCTCGCACGCTTTGCTGCTCCACGAAGGGACCCCCACGGGGCGCCTCGGGCTCCTTTCGGAGCACCCCTCGCACGCCGTGCTACCGTGCCTGGGTTGTGGGTATGAAGCCTATTGGATGTTCGTTGGGATCTCGTGGGAGGCTTTCCGGTGGCCTCTAGGAGGCAGTTTGGACGCCTCTTGGGGGCCGTTTGGGGGCATCTTGGGGCCTCTTGGGGCCCTCTTGGGGCCTCTTCGGGGCTTCTTCGGGGCCTCTTGGGGCCTCCTGGGCGCCTTTTGGGGCCTCCTGGGGGCCTCTTGGGGCGGAAGGCTAGGATTTTTGGTTTGTCTTTCCCCTTGGGGGGCCGTCTTGGGGCCCTCTGAGGCCGTTTTGGGCGCCCCTTGGGCTGTCTTGGAGCCCTCTTGGGCCGTTTTGGAGCCCTCTTGGAGGCCTCTTGGGCCGTCTTGGGGCGGTCTTGGGGGCCTCTAGGGCTGTCTGGGAGCGTCGGGAAGCCGAAAAGGCGAGAACGCCAAAATCATTTTAAAAATCTTAGGACAACCAGTGAATTCTGCCTCTTGGGGCCTCTTCGGAGGCCTCTTGGGGGGCTCTTGGGCTGTCTTAGGGCCATATCGAGCGTGTTCGGGCGATGTTTGGGCGTCTCGGGACCCTCTTGGACCGTCTTGGGGCCTCTTGGGGCCCTCTTGGCCCGTCTTGGGGTCCTCTTGGGCCCGGACAAGTCACGCGAGAAGACGCGAGAAACCCCAGGGAACGGCGGGAAACCTTCGGAGCACCCCTCGCACGCTTCGTGGCCCCAGGATGGGCCTCCACGGGACGCCTCTAGTTTATTTTGGAACACCCCTAACACGGTTCGTAGCCCCACGAGGAGTCCACACGGGACGCTTCGAGCCCATTTCGAAGCACCCCTCGCACGTTTCGTTGCCCCTTACGGGGGGTCTCCATGGGACGCTTCGGTCCCATGTCGGGGTACCCCTCGCACGCTTCGCTACCGTTTTGCAGGGGTCTCCACAGAACGCCTCGGGCCCATGTCGGAGCACCCGTCATGTGTCTCGTGGCCCCCCGAGGTGTGTCCACGCGACGCTTCCAGCCCATCTCGGAGCACCCCTCACACGTTTCGTGACCACACGAGGGGTCTCCACGGGACGCCTCGGGCCCACTTCGGGAGCTCTTCTCGCACGCTTCTCACGCCCCGAAGTGGGAGCAGCCGCCGGGTATGTCGGCGGAGCTCCCACGTGGGGCCGCTCTGTCGACTCGCCCCTTTTGCTCTGCCCGTCCTCCTTTTGCTCTGCCCCTCCTCCTCCTCCTCCTCCTCCTCCTCCTCCTCCTCCTCCTCCTCCTCCTCCTCCTCCTCCTCCTCCTCCTCCTCGTCCTCGTCCTCGTCCTCCTCGTCCTCGTCCTCCTCTCCCTCGTCCTTCTCCCCTCGCTCTTCGTTTTTTTTGTGCCCAAAAGGAGATCCGGAGATCAGTCCGGAGATCCCTCGGCACCTGCTGGGGTACCCATCGCTGTCCACGGGGCTGACGTCCCCGGACATCTCGAACGGCCTCGGCGACATCTCCAAGGTTTCCGCAGCGGGCTGCGGGCAGACCGTGGGCGATTGTGCGTTCTGCGAGCTGTCCCAGGACTCGTGTGCTGTCACTTTCTTCCTGGCCCCTCATCCCCAGTAGCACTTTCCAAAGCATTCCTGGTTTGATGTGTCCCCATAAGATCCATTGGTAGCGTGTTCCGATGGATGCATTGTGTGACACTTTCACGTAGAAACCCTCAGCAGTGCTTTCCACCGGATTCCGATTGTGAGGCTTTCCCATCGAATCCCTTTGGAGTGCTTTCCATGTGGGACTTTCAAAAATAATCCCACAGCTGCGCTTTCTTAAGGCTTCCTACTGTGACGCTTTCCAATAGAATCCATTTGCAGTGTTTCCGCTGCGAGGCTGTCCATTTGAATCCCTCTGCGATACGTTCTAAAGGATTTCCGATGTGATGATTTCCAGTAGGAACCCTCATCCCATAGAATCCCGTCGCAGCGTTTTTCAACCAAAAGATCCTGTTGGGACGCTTACCAACAGGAACCCTCAATAATGCTTTCCCAAGGATTCCGAGTGTTGGGCTTTCCCATGTAATCCAGTTGGAGTGATTTCCATGTGAGGCGATCAAGTGGAATCCCGTTGTTGCGCGTTCAAGGGGATTCCTGGTGTGACGCTTTTCCATGTGAGGCTTTCCATGAGAATCCCTTTGTGGCAGTTTCCCAAGGATTCGCGTTGTGACGCTTCCCAATAGAATCCCTTTGGAGTGCTTCCCATGTGGGAAAGCAAGAGAAGAAAAGGAAGAGGAGGGCCAAGCACCGAGGAGGGCCGAAGGCGCCACATACCCATCCAGTCTGCCGCCCCCTCCCTCCCCCACCATCCGCCCTCCCCTCCCCACGCCCCCTCCAGTTACTGCTCCCCCCGTTCGCATTCACCTCCGTCTCCCAATCCTCCTCAGCCCCATCCACATCCTCCTCCGCATCTTCCTCTCCTCCTCCTGCGACTTCGACTCCTCACTCCCTCCCCCTCTCTCCACCCCTATGGCTCCCCCTTCTCCTACCAATCCCCCACACACACACACACACACACACACCACCACCACACACCACCACCACCACCACACCACCACCACCACCCACCACCACCCACACCCTTTTCCCTCCATCCCCCTGCCGCTCTGCCTCCTCGTCCTCCTCATCCTCCTCCTCCTCCTCCTCCTCCTCCTCCTCCTCCTCTTCCTCCTCCTCCTCATCATCCTCCTCCCCATACTCTCCAACGAAGGCGCAATAAATTGAGGAGTGGTGAGAACCGAGGTCCGTTGGTCCCGCATCGATGCTGCTCGGGACACGCTCGTCAGCATGTCGTCATCCTTGCAGTATGAAAGGAAGAATAAGACGCCGATGGAGAGGGGGTAGAATTGAGAATGTGACATCTATACACACAGATGTACGAATCTCTATATACATATACATACGTATCTATACATGCATAAATACATACATACATACAAACATACAAACATACAAACATACAAACATACAAACATACATACATACATACATACATACATACATACATACATGCATACACATACATACATACATACATACATACATACATACATACATACATACATATATACATACACACATACATACATACATACATACATACATACATACATACATACATACATACATACATACATTCATACATCAACATACATGCATACATGTATGCGTACATGCATGTATAAATGCGCATATATATATATATATATATATATACATATATACATGCATACATACATACATACATGCATGCATACATACACATACCCATACATACACACATACATGCATGCGTGTGTATACATGTGGATATGTTTATATTATATTATATTGTACTATGTTATATTATGTTATATTATATGATACTATACTATATTATATTATATATATATATGTATGCGTAGGCATACACATGCACGTACATACATGCTCACATACCAACAAACAAACACATACACAAACATACAGACAGGCAGACAGACAGACAGACATGCATGCATGCATACATGCATACACACGTGCACACATGCACGCATACATACATACATGCATGAAAAAACGCACACGCTCACACACACACACACACACACACTCATTCATACATACATACATGCATACATACACAAATGCGTACATATGTACACATGTTTACATACATACAAACAAACAGGCATACATATATGCATACAGACATGAAGACATACAGATGTACAATACATACATATGTATGGCTTCAAACATACAAACATGCACGTATACATATACGTATACGTATACATATACATATATGTATGCATCTTCATAAAGATGTACATCTACGTAAACATCTACATACATGTTCATACATGCAGTCAGACAGACAGACAGACCGACAGGCATACAGATATGCATGTATACATGCATGCACGCATAAATACCTACAGGCAGCCATACCTACATGCATAAATACATACATAAGTGCATGCATGTATGCATGCATACATACAAACATACATACACACATACACGCATACATACATACATAAATACAAACATACATTAATACGAACATACAAACATAAGTACGTACATACATACAAGTATGTGTACATAAATACATGTTTGCATGCATACGTACGTATACTCAAACGTACATATACACATACATGAATACATACACACCTATATACATACATACATACAAACATACATACTGGCATACATACATGAATGCATACATACATGCATCGACGCAGAGGGGGAAAGAGAGAAAGAGAGATCTATCGGAGGTTGGGGGTGAGATCGAAGTGAAACGGAGGGTCCCCCTCTGGGAAATCGGTTTCGGTTTCGTGTTTCTGATTCGGCGGGCGAGAGGAATGACTCCGCTGTGTCTAGGGCGGGTCAAGACAAAAGACCGCCCCTCCGGTGGCCTGGCGTGGCCGGGGGTGCCCCGGTGTCCCGCCGTGGTGTCCCGCCGTGGTGTCGCGTTGATGTCCCGTTGATGTCCCGTCGGTGTCCCGTCGGAGCCCCGTCGGTGTCCCGTGGGAGCCCCGTCGGTGTCCCGTCGGTGTCCCGTCGGAGTCCCGTCGGTGTCCCATCGGTGTTCCGTCGGTGCCCCGCGGATGTCCGGTCGGTGTCCCGTCGGTAACCCGTCGGTGCCCCGTCGGTGTCCCGTCGGTGTCTCGTCGGTGTCCCGCCGTCGGTGTCCCGTCAGTGCCCAGTCGGTGTCCCGTCGGTGTCGCGATTGATGTCCCGATTGCTGTCCCGTGGGTGTCCCGATTTGTGTCCCGATTTGAGTCCTGCTGGTGCCCTGGTGCCCTTGTGGTGTCCTGATGGTGTCCCGATGGGTCCCCGACGGTGCCCCTGGCGTCCCAATGGTATGGCGGCGCCCCGATGGTGTTCCGATCGTATCGAAATGGTTTCCGGGATCGCTAGTGATATGGATGGTCAGACTTCGCAGGTGAGACCGAAGAGAACCGGAGACGCCAAACGCTTCACCACCACCCAGCACGAGGTCGATACTGAGATCGATGGAACGAAACCGACAATGACATCGCCACCATCACAAATCATCGCGGTTGTCCTCGGTTGATTAGTTATCACCCCAACCTCCTTATTTTCCGAAGGGTGATCGAATAGGTCAAATGTGGTAGCCACCGTGGACCCCAAACAGCGTTTCTATCATTCTATGTTGTTCAATATGTGTGGTGCATTCTAGGTTGTGCAATCTATGGTGTTCCATATCTGTAATGCAACATGTGTGGTACACATTATGTTGCGAATTCTGTGGTACTGCAAACGTTGTGCAATCCATGTGGAGCAACCTACGCGTTTCAACATATGTTGTGCAAGTTACGTGGTGCAGTTTACATGGAGCTATGTCCTGCAATCTACGTTGTTCAATATACGTGGTGCTGTATACGTGGTGCAACCCACAATGCTCAGTTTGCAATTGTCCACTCCACGACTCGCGCAAACATCCCCCCCACCCACCCGCAATTTGGTTCGCAAACCCCATGCGGAAACGATCGCGATGAGTGTTTGGTGTTGGCTGGTGCATCTCTGCCCACGCGCAAACCCGCGCATGCTCGCGCGCGCAGCGGCTAGCGAGGTTGGCGCGACCGACGGGAACGCGGTGGCGTTGACCGCTCGGCACATCCCAGCAGGCATTTCAATGCGAGTCGGCGTCTTGGGCGGGCGCGGTATCATGGCAACGTCGACAATGGTAGACACGATGATGATAATAGCGATGCTGGTAACGATGCTGACAGCGACGACGGGGCAACCAGTGACGGCGCCGATGCCGATCACGCCGACGACGATAACGGCGTCTTCGCGTCTCGCGTCGGCGATGACGGTTTTGAAAGGAATTCGAAATGCGCGCGCGGCAGACGCGCGATAGTGGCGCTCGCGTGGAACTATTTGACGCGGATCGTGCCACCTCATCACGCGCGCAAGGGCGTTCGAACGATTTCGCCATGCGCGCGCGAAACCCGTGTGGTAGCATTATATTTAATCATGAAAAACGCATGGCTTCCGTAAGAAATCGCAAGACCGCGGGCATGTTTTTTTTTGAAAACCCGCGTTGCGAAGCCATGTTTCTTTTCGTTGTTTGTTCTTTTTCTTTTAAAAAAAATGTTCAGACACTCAATTCTGAAGTCCTTCCGACACCGTAGGTTTTTGAAGGGTTCCGGCATGCGCGCGACGACGCGAGCGCGCGCGCACTTCGCCCCACCTGTTGCAAGGGAGTCTTGGAAACCTATGATTTGCAACGAACGAGCGCGCGCATAATATGCGCTGCAAAGGAACGGATGGGGGAAAGGGGGGGGGGGCGATACCGGCCCGGCTGGGATAATATGAATTCACAGGTCGGATGGACATTTGGGTCAGAATCAAGCGCATTCTGCATGGGTTCCCGGGGGGTCGATAAGTCCGGGGGGGGGATGGTAAAAACTATCTCCTTCTTAGAAAGGAGAATTCATGTGGGGCAATCTAGGTGGCGCAGCCTTTGTGGCGTAACGTTTTCTGTGCATTCTCCGTTGAATAGTCCATGTGTTGCAGCATCGGCGGTGCAACCTAGGTGGTGTCATAAACTCCTGTTCGCAATGAGTTGCCCACTCCACTGCTCGCGCAAACACCCCGCCCACCCACCCGCAACTTGGCCTGCAAACCTCATGCGGCGGCGATTGCGAGGAGTGCTTCGCGCTGGCCGGCGCATCTCCGCGGCCGCGCCAGCCCGCGCGCGCGCGCAGCGGCCAAGTGGTCTGGCGCGACCGACGCGAAGGCGGCGTCGCTGACCGCTCGGTGCATCCAGCTGGCACTCCAATGCGAGTCGGCGACTTGGGCGGGCGCGGTATCGTGGCATGGTCGACACTTGTAGACATGGTGATGATAGTAGCGACGTTGATGACGACGCTGACAGCGACGACGGCACGCCCAGCGACGACACCGACGCCGATCACGCCGACGACAATGACGGCGTCTTCGCGTCGGCGATGCAGATTTTGAAAGGAATTCGAAATGCGCGCGCGGCAGACGCGCGAGTGGCTCGCATGGTATTATTTGACACGGATTGTGCCATCTCAGCACGCGCGCAAGGGCGTTCGAACGATTTCGACATGCGCGCGCGAAGCCCGTTTGGCAGCATGCTATGAACATGTTGACAAACTCTTGATTTTCTTAAAAATTCGCAAGACCGCGCGCGCACGCTTGTTGAAAATCAACGTTGCGAACCCTTGTGTCATGTATTTGTTGACGCTCGATGCTCGATGTTGGAATATTTCAAAAACCGTTGGTGTTTGGAGGATTTCACAATGCGAGCGCGACAACGCGCGCGCGCACTTCGCCCCATTTGTTGCAGAGCACTCTTGCGACGGCACGCGCGCAAGGGCGTTCGAACGATTTCGACATGCGCGCGCAAGGCCCGTTTGGTTGTATGTTCTGCAATATTGAAACAAAACCGATGGATTTCTAAAGAATTCGCAATTGAAAAATACTTGTTGGGAAACCCTGTGTGTCTATAAAGTTCTTATACACTCGATGTTGAAATCCTTCCAAAAACCAATGGTTTTTGATGGATTTCAGCATGCGCGCGTGACGACGCGCACGCGCACTTCGTCCCATCTGTTGCAAGGGGTTATTGACAACTTATGGTTTTTGATAAACAAGCGCGCGTAATATTTGTTGCAAGGAAACGGAGGGGGGGGTCGATACCGGGGCCCAGCTGGGATAGTATTAATTCACAGGTAGGATGGACCTTGGGTCAAAATCCTATGCGCTTTGCATCGGTTCCCGGCGATTCTCTAACCCCGGGGGGGGTAGAACCTATTTCCATTTTAGAAAAGAAAATCCATGCGGCGCAACATGCGCTGTACAACCTAGCGGCGCAGTATGCGTCGTAGAATCGCTGTGCAGCGATCGGAACAAACAAAGCGGCGCAATTGATTTTTACCCATGAGTTGACACATCACATGCCCTTGCAAGCATCCCACCCACCCACCCGCAACTTGGCGTGCAAAACCCACGCGGTAGCGATTGCGATGCATGCTCGGGGTTGGCTGGCACATCTCTGCGGCCGCGCCAACCCTAGCACGCGCGCGCAGCGGCCAACTAGATTGGCGCCGCCGACGCGGCCGCGGCGGCGCTGCCCGCCGGGCGCGCCCCAGCGGGCACTTCACAGCGATTCGGCCACTTGGGCGGGCGCGGCATCATGGCAACGCCGAGTTCGGTAGACGCGACGATGATAGCGGCGATGCTGGTGACGATGTTCGCACCGACGAAGGCGCGGCCAGATTGGGCGCCAATGCCGATCACGCCGGCGACGATGGCGGCGCCCTCGCGTCGGCGATGAAGGTTTTGGAAAGGAGTTCGACGCGCGCGCGCGGCCGACGCGCGAGAGTGGCCCGCACGGTTCTATTGGACGCGGATCGCGCCCCCCCAGCACGCGCGCAAGGGCGCGCGAATGATGCCGGCATGCGGCGCCAGAGGCCCCCTGGGCAAAATTCTACGAAAACGGTGAGAATCGCAAGGGCGCGCGCGCAAGCTTTTGTGAAGACTGACGTTGCGGAACATTGTGTTCTCGAATGTTTGCTGGATATCTTGTTTTGAAATCGCTGCGACACCGAAGGTTTAAGGGTTCGGCACGCGCGCGAGGACGCGCGCGCGTGCACTTCGCCCCATTTGTTGCAGAGGATTTCCGCGACGGCACGCGCAAAAAGGCGTTCGAACGATTCCGGCATGCTCGCGCGAAGCCCGTTTGGCAGCATGTTCTGAACATGTTGAAAAGCCTATGGCTGCCAAGAGCGCGCGCACACGTTTCTTTCGAAAACTCGCGTTGCCAAGCGCTGTGCTTCATATGTTTTTGGACACTCGATTTTGAGAAATCTCCAAAACCGAAGGTGCTTGAAGGAAGTTGGCACGCGCGCGCGACGACGCGCGCGCGTGCACTTCATCCCGCTTTCTGCAAGGGATTCATGACAACTGATGATATTTGATAAACGAATGCGCGCGGATATCTGTTGCAGAGGATGGCGGGGGGGTCAATACTGTTCCGCCAGGGATGGTGTTAGTTCATATTTAGGACGGGCGATGGGGCAGAATCGAAGGCAAACTGCAGAGCGATAAAGTGGGCCGATAAAGCCGAGGGGGTCTAATTCCTCGATATAACGGGAGAGTCCAGTAGGTGCACTGCATGTGTTGCACTCTACGTGGTGAAATATGTGTTGTCCAATCCGCGCGGTGTAATCGACGTGGTGAAATTAAAGTTGTGTAGATGTGGAGCAAACTAAGCGGTGCAAGCCACGTGGTGCAATATATGTTGCGCAACACATGTGGTGTAATATATGCGGTGAGCTCTACACTGTGTAAAGTATGTGGTGCAGTATATGTGATGCAGCCTATGAGGTGCAACCTTTGCGGCGCGATCTATGCGGCGCCATTGACTACAATGCACCGCGTTTGACCACCTCCACTGCTCGCGGAAACATCCCATCCACCCACCCGCAACTTGGATTGCAAAACCCACGCGGTGGCGATGGCGATGCATGCTCGGCGTTGGCTGGCACATCTCTGCGGCCGTGCCAACCCTAGCACGCGCGCGCAGCGGCCAGACAGTTTGGCGCCAACGATTTGGCCGCGGTGGCGCTAACCGCTGGGCGCATCCCAGCGGGCGCTTCACTGCGAGTCGGCGACTTGGGCGGGCGCGGTATCACGGCAACGCCGACTCTGGTAGACTCGATAATGATAGTGGCGACGCAGGCGACGATGTTCGCACCAACGAAGGCGCGGACAGTGCGGATGCCGATGCAGATCACGCTGGCGACGACGACGGCGTCTTCGAGTCGGCGATCGAGGTGTCGGAAAGGAGTTCGACATGCGCGCGCGGCCGACGCGCGAGAGTGGCCCGCGCGTTCTTTCTTGACACGGATCGCGCCCCCCCCCCCCAGCACGCGCGCGAGGGCGCGCGAATGATGTCGGCAAGCGGCGCAAGAGGCCCGTTTGGCAGAATTCCATGAAGACATTGAACAACCAAAGGTTTTCGCAAGGATTCGCAAGAGCGCGCGCGCAAGCTTTTGTTGAAACTGATGTTGCGAAACCGTGCGTTCTCGAATGTTTGTTGGACATTCGGATTTGAAATCGCGACGAAACAAAAGGTTGTTGAAAGATTTCGGCATGCGCGCGCGACGACGCGCGCGCCTGCACTTCGCCCAATTTGTTGCAACGGGTCCTCGCGACAGCACCCGCGCACAGGCGCGCGAACGATTTCGAAATGCGCGCGCGAAGCCTGTTTGGCAGCACGTTTGGAAAATGTTGGGAAACCTATGGTTTTCTGAAGATTTCGCAAGAGCGCGCGCGCACTTGCACTGAAAATCCAAATTGCGATACAATGTGTTTCGCATATGTTTTTTGAACACTCGAGTTGGAAATCCTGCGGAAACCGAAGATTTTCAAAGGATTCCGGCCTGCGCGCGCGACGACGCGCGCGCGTGCACTTCGTCAAGGGATTCACGACAACTGATGATATTTGATAAACGGGCGCGCGCGCGCACAATATTGTTTGCAGGGGGGATGGCGGGGGGGCCGGCCCCCCTGGGATGGTGTAAATTCATATTGAGGATCGACGATGGGGCAGAATCCTACGTAGATTGCGATACGAAACAATGGGCCGATAAACCCGGGGGGATCTCAATTCTCGGAAGAGACTCTAGCACTCTAACGTGGCGACGAGGCGGCGACGGGACAGCGACGGCAGCCACAGAGCCGCCAGAACGACAGACAGGCCCAGACGACGGGCGGCGACGAGGCGGCGACGGGGCGGCTTCGGCGGCCACATTGCCGCCAGACCGACGGACAAAGACGTCGGGCGGCGACGAGGGGGCGACGGGGCGCGCCGGCGGCCGCGCGGCCGCCAGACCGACAGCCAGGCCCAGCTCATTTTAGAAAAGAAGCAAGAAACCCTAAGTACAGGCACGGCCTGAATGATTTGTATAGGTATATATATATATATATATATATATATATATATATATATATACATAAATACAGATACATCTACTTATATGTGCACAAACTTACATACATACGTACCACATACATATACACATACGATCATAAATACGTAAGTACATAGGTACATACATAAGCGCATGCGCACACACAGACAGAAAGAGAGACAGACAGGCAGACAGACGGACGGACATACATGCAATGCAGCGATATCGACTGATATGCTTGTCATAATCGAAGCCAAAAGGACCTGCCCATGTCACTGCTTCACTGCCGCGCCATGCCACCCCCTGCAACGGGGGGTCTCCGACTCCAGCAAATACAATCCACAACACGCCCCCTTGGAATTTCGGCGCGGGGCCCCGAGTCGAGATTTCAACCGACTCTCCGAGAGGAAGACTCGCAACGAAAAAGGGCTTGGGCGCCCCCCAGGCTATAGATCAAAATGCTCTAGCCGGCCAGCTCCCACGAGTCCCACGAGTAGTCCCAGGGACGAAAACGCAGATACTCTGCGCGGCGGAAACGAGCGGAAGCTCAATATAATCCCACGCTGGACCTCTCTCCAGCGAAACGCGCACCCGCTCGAGGTCCTTTGCCTGAAGCCTCTTGTTCAATCCAAAAAGGTCCTCTGGCACTGTCCATGCGCGCGTCAGGGAAGGCCCCGTGCGCGTAGTCTGGTACTGGCTGCGAACGCGGGGTCACCCACTTCCACTTGTATGACGTCTGTGACTGCGTGCCTATGGTGCGTCGTACCTGGCCAGGTCGCTGCATGACCGATGAGGCCGGCAACCGCCATGTCCGCGGGTGCCCCATCCTTCTCGTCATTGGGCTCTGGCGGGACCAGAATCGATTATGCGCCCCTGCTCTGGGCGCAGCGGGAGCCCGCGCAGCCGCTGACAGCAGCCACGACCAGCGCCCACAGGATGAGCATCAGCAAGTAGCTCGAGTTGTCGCTCGTGACTGAGACGTCCAGAGGCGCAGATCTCCGCGTCGTAGTAGTAGCCGTTGTGCTCGGCGGGGGGCCCTCGCAGCTCTGCAAGAGCGCCGCCGCTGCCGCGGCCATTGCCGGGGCCACCGAGCGGCTGCCACTAAACAGGCCAGCCGCGCTCCGCGAGCGCCGCGCCCGAGCAATCGCCCCCATCGAAGTACACCTCCTCCGACTGCTCGTCGCTCGCCATGACCTGGCCCATGTCCGCGTAGATGCCGCTCAGAGCCCTGAGCTTCACGAACCGATCGCGCCCGATAGTATTCGCGCCCAGGTCTGCTTTGTCGTCGCCCGCGCCGACGGCCCCGACGTCGGTCAGCTCGCGCTTGATCGCGCGCTGGAGCCAGAGCACTCGCGCCCCCAGACTTAGCACCCTCGCGTCTGGCAGTCCCTCGGGCCGCCGACGAATCCGCGAGTAGCGCGGCCGCCACTGCGAAGCCCCTGAACCAGCAGTGACTCGAAGTGCAGCATGTCCTCGGCGACCGCCGTCGCCGCGTAGCATTCTGCAACGCCTGAGCTGGTAGCCACTATCGCCTGGCGTCTGTTGAAGGAGTGCATCGGCACTCCGTCGGTCTCAATCCTGCCACTCGACCGCAACCCCTTCGCGTGCAGACCGCCTGCCCCGTCGCTGTCGCCGTATTCAACCAGCTCCACATTGGTGCCCTCCGTCGGCTTCGGACGCCAGTTCACCGCGCCCCTGGCCCCTAGGAGGTGCCAGACAAGCCTCTTCAGAGCGGCGACAGCACCGACGGCGGGGCCTGACGGCATCGCGCCGAGGAGGCTGACCTCGCACTGGCGATCCGCCCTGTCCTGGGCGCAGCACAGCAGCGCCCCCACGCATGAGCAGTAGACCCCAGCCTGCTGCTGAGACGGGGCGGGCGCACTCCTCATGAGTGCCTTGTGGGCCGGCACCCCTGGCGCAGGTGCGGTGTTCGAGCTGCCCAGGCCGCGGGTGTCCACCACGTAGCCCGGGTACTTGGGGTTCGCCTGCAGCTCCGCCCCGTGCTCGAACCTCGCCCTCAGCCTCTTCAGTCGCTCGTAGGTAGCGCCGCACTCGTGAATCTCACCGCCGCTGAAGGTCGCATGTAGCTTGAGCTCACGGAAGCGCCCCAGCGCATCCCGCGGCCCAGCCATGCGCGGGTCGCCCATGCGCAGCTCCACCACCACCTCGCTGCCGGGATTGCAAAAGAACTGCGGCGCCACCTCGAGCCTTGCCACGCGCATCTCGCCCGCGAGGACGCCCGCCAATATGCTCGACCCAGCCCGGCGCCGCCGCGCGCCTGCCAGGTAGCTGCTTCTCCAGATTCCAATAGATGCCCGCGTCCTTGCCCTCCACCTCGAGCGCGTCCAGGTATCCCTGCGGGGAGCCCACCACCATGCCCTCGCACTCGGGCGCCTGGTAGAAGGCGCCCGTCGCGCCCAGCGCCATCACGTCGAAGCCGCGCTCGAGGGCCACGAAGTCGACGAGCCCGTTGGAGATCGGAGCCGACCCTGACGCAAACAAGTCGCCGCGCCACTCCTGCCAGTGGAACTCGCGGCAGACGAATCGAACCTTGCGCTGCCACTCCCGCTGCGCTGGCTCCCATCCCCACTGCTTCTCCCAGCGCGTGGTGATGCGCTTTATCCCATTCGCCTCCGACTTGGGAATGCCCCCCCCCCCCCCCCCGACGACGTGGTCCAGGAGGCTCTGCAGGTGCTCTAGCGTGAGCTTCTTGTCGAGCTCGTCCTGCATGTCCACATCGAACATCCCCTCGGTCAGGTCCTCGGACTCGTCCGAGACCTCCTCCCGGAACACGTCGGGCGAGCCGCCCACATTGCCAACGTCGAGCGCGTGGACTGCCGCAACTCGGACACGCTTGCCCTCTGATACCTCTGCCCCTGTCGACACCTCGCGCCTCACCGCCTGCGGGGGTGCCCCCATGGTCACGTCACCCGGCGCTAGCGGCACTGGCGGGGGCTGCGGCTGCGGCGGGGCCGCTGCTGCCGCGGGAGGTGCCTGCGGCTCCGCCTGAGGCTGAGCTGGTGCCGCTCCGCCCTCAGAATGCGCTGGCTGCGCCTGCTGCTGCTGCTGCTGCGCGTCTGCCTTCGGGAGCTCCGTCGCCACCTGCCGCGGCGCCCGTCGTCGCCTCGACCTCTCTAGAGCCGTCCTCGTGGCCCAGGGTAGGCAAGCCACCGTCAGCAGGAGCTCCCTGCCCCCGTGCCTGCCCCCAGGCAGCCGTCGCACAGTCCGAGCGCAATCAATCCCCCGAGGGGCCATCAGCAGGTGCCCCTGGGACTCGCCAGACCTGCCGACCCTGATCCCGCGGCCCCACTGCGCCCCTCCACGGTGCAAGCAAGCGTCGCCATCCCGCGAGCCCGCGATGCGCTGGCCGCGCAATCCGATAAAGCACCACCTCGCCAAAGTTGCAGATATCGCCTTTGCAGGGGGTCCCTGTCGCCATCCCGCGGGGGGTCTGCCCCCAGGTCGTCGTCAGAACCTCTCGCGTCGCATCATCCAGGCCCAGATCGGCATCGCCGCTGTGATCCTGGTGCCGTAGCGTTTCTCGAGGTCCAGTTTGAGGACTCGCGCCTGGCCCTCGACTATCTTCACCGCTGCCTCCCCCGGGTTCGACTGGCCGCTGTGCTTAGAGGTCAGCTCTGCCGCGGCCGTGCCCGCCCGCTCGTTGACCACTCCGCCCAGGATGGCCTCGGTCGCCTGCTCCGCGTCGGCCCAGACCCTGCACGCGCCAGTTTCGAGCCGCTGCACGAAGGACCTGATGCCTGCAATCGCGCATGGTGGGGCCGCCTTCGAAGGGCACGGGATGACCTTCACCACTTCAGTGTCCGAGCTGAAACCTAATAGAAACGTCGCGTACGCGCCTGCCACCCGAGCATGGACCCCCGTCCTCGTCTGCCGCCCTGCAGAACCCGAAGTCGTAGCTGATGAGAGGGGCCTTCTGCCCAGACCCTCGAGCCCGACCAGCGAGCGCGGGGCGCTGGGAGCCTTGCCCCTGACACGCTCCTCGCACCACGCCGCAGCTGGTAGATGCGTGAACCTATGCTGCCTCTCCTCGCCAGCGCTCAGGGCCTTCGGCGCCGGCAGCTGCATCGCCTCGATGGGGTCATGCTGGATCCCGAGATGCCCCCTGACTGCCCGATTGCGCGCCTTCTCTGCCGCTGCGCGTCGGCGCGCAGCCTCGGCCACGAGCCCCCCACGCAACTTTTGCCTCGGTCACATAAATGGGCATGAGCAGCTCCCCCAATCGAGTCCTGGGCGCGCCGACCGAGCTGTCCGCGTTGAGAATTGGGGCCGTCGCCGTAGCCTCCTGCCCTGCTGCACCACAGCAGCGGCGAACCTCGACAGGCCCCGCGGACGCGATCGGGAGCCGGAAGCTGTTCCGCTCCAGCTCCAGCTGCACGCCGCAGTGGCCCTTCGCCATGCAGAGCCCGCCCTCCAAGCTGAGATTGAACTTGAAGCCCTGCTCGCGCAGCTTGCCCATGCTCAGCAGGTCGTCGCTCACGTCGGCAACGAGGAAGTCCGCCGTTGCCTCGATGCCTTCCTGCATGACCATCTGGATTCCACGCAGTCCTGCCGTCTGTAGCGGCCTCTTCTGAACGTCAAAGAGCCTCGGCGCGTTCCCCGCGCTGCTGACGGGCGCCTCTGGAACGAACTTGCGCCTGCACAGGTGGTCGTCGCTGCCGCTGTCAATCAGGATGGGCCGCCTATCTTCGCCACCTGGCCATGAGACTCCGCCGAGACCGCGGGCGTTCTCTGTGTCCTGCTGCCCCCCCGCGTCGTCTGCCTTCTTCTTCCTGCAGTCCTGTCGCTCGTGGCCCCACTTGCCGCAGTAGCCACACTCGCCGTCGAACTACTCGGACTGCTGGCCCTTGCCGCGCGCGTCCTCGCCGCCGCCTCGGTTCTTGGACTTCATCTTGGAGTCCTTGCCCTTCTGGGCCCTGTCTGTCTTGCCGCCAGACCTGCCCATCTTGCCTGCCCTGCTGGTCTTGCCGCCAGCCTTGCCCGCGGGGGGGGGTCCTCGCACTGCGTCAACCAGCATCGGCACAAGCCCGCCCGTGTCGGGCACGCGCGTGAACGTCCGTCCTTGGCTGTAGCAGCCCATGACGTGACTGCGAGCCGCACCTCATGTGAGCTTACGTCCCCATGGGGCCTGTCCCAACACCTCTCGACACGGCTCGGGCGCGTGCTCCAGCAGCAAGCTCACGCGGACGTTGTCAGGGACGGCCTCGCCGCTCTGGTCCACATACTCCGCCACAATAGCCCCCCGGACAGTGAGTGACTGGAAGAAGTCGACCTCTGCCTCGCGATCCTTTGCCCAGTTGTCCTGTGAGTTGAGGACGAACCGTAGCATAACTGCCCACCTGTTGCCTGCCCTACTCTCGTACTCAATCTTGAGCTGGCGCCACGCCCCGAGGCCGCTCTTGCGAGAGAGCTTCACCGCTCCCATCGCCTTGCCATCGCACCACGTGGTCAGTAGGTGCCACAGCCGCTGGCTGACCGTCTACGCTCGGTCGCCGAGCGCGTTGCTCAGCACTGGTTCGCACCTCAGCGCCGCCTCCATCATGAGGTCCTCGAAGCCGAGCAACGCCGTGTAGGCCTCGAAGCGGAGACCCCAGTCTCCCCATCTCTCGTCTGTGCCGTCGAACCGCTGCAGCCGCATACCAGTCCGTACATCGACCACGCCGATCGCCGCCATCGCTGCCCGCAGAAGGGCTGCGAAGTGCGCGGAAGTGTGGCACCCGAGCTCAGCTCCCGTGGTCTGGGGAACCGAGCTCCCCTACCATGTAGCAATATCGACTGGTACGCGTTTCATCTTCGAAACTAAAAGAGCCTGTCCATGAAACTGGTTCACTGCCGTGCCATGCTAGATCCTGCAATAGGACTATCTGATCCCAGCAAACACGACCTACAATATGCAAGCACCTAAACAGACATACATACATACATACATACATACACATACACATGGATACATACATACACACATACAAAAATGCACGTTGACATACATACATATATACACCCATTACGTACATGCATACATATATGCATACATATGTGTATATATAAATATGTGTGTACGTACACACACCTGCCTGCCCGCCTGCCTGCCTGTCCGCTTACCGACCTACCTAGATGCCGACCTACATATATGCATATATGCACGCACACATACTCATACGTGCACGCACTACACATGCATCTACATAGACATGCACAGATGCACAAAACTACACCTGTACATACATTATACAGACTTGCTGCACACAAATACATAAACATATACCCATACATATGCATATATATACACGTTCGTACACCAGTGCATATGTCTATACATGTATATGCAAATGCATATCCATCTACATATGCAGACACATCTACCTATACACATATGCGTACAGTGGTAGATGTATATCTGTACGGAAACAAGCAGATGTCCATGCCTATAACGCATAACTAAAGAAAAACATACAAATACACAAATATGTATGCATGTACAGGTACAGCCATATATATATGTATGTATGTATGTATGTATGTATGTATGTATGTATGTATGTATGTATGTATGTATGTATGTATGTATGTATGTATGTATGTGTGTGCGCATCTACATATAGTTATAGATATACCTACACTTAGATTTAAACTTACATACATAAATGCATACGCAGGCAACGGAAAGACTGAGAGACAACGAGGGAGAAAGGGAGAAAGGGGAGAAAGGGAGAAAGGAAGAAAAGGAGAAAGTGGGAGAGGGAGAGAGGG